GGCCGGCCGGGTGGTGGTTGGTTAGGCCGGCCGGGTGGTAGTTGTTGGGCCGGCCGGGTGGTGGTTGTTGGGCCGGCCGGGTGGTGGTTGGGACGGCCGTGCTCCGCCTGCAGAGCTGTCCTGCCGGCCAGCCCTGCCCTCGGTGGCGGGCGCAGGCAGCGGGGCGAGCGCTCTGCCAGCTGTGCTCGATGGCAAACCTCTGGGGCTTTTTTTGCTTCTCCAGGAAATACGTGAAGACCCCCTTGTGCTGGATGAGCCAGCGCAGAGAGACACTGGTGCCGGTGGAACTTGCCAAGAGAGAGAAAGAGCAGCTCTACTAGACCCGGGGCGATCCAAGCAGCCTTCACCAAAAGACTGATTAAAAACAAAAAAAAAAGTTCAGCGATGCTCACACTCTGATGGGACATTTGGTATCTTTATTATAGGCAAGATAGTCTCTCTTTCATTTCTTAGTAGAGCTTCTTTCAGTGGCAGTTTACAGCCAACATTAAAGATCGCTGTAGTTTTTATAACTTACTGGAAGTCTAGGCTCCCTCTGTTTCAGACCACCACCCCTCATCTCCCCTGTGGTTACTCACCTCTTACATGCAGGAGGTGAATGGACATTGGAATATTGTGCACGATTCTAGTTAGCCCTATTCAACAAGAGTTCAAAGAACAATTGGGGTGCCAAGGAGAAGGAAGAGTCTCACAGGAGGAGCCCACCAAAGACAGGTCTGTTTAGCCTAGCAAAAAAGGGGCTGAAAAGTGTTAACAACACTCTGTCAGTATATTAGGGAAGACAACACTATAGAGCAAAAATGGACAACTGTGGAGTGTAAAGGATGATGTTAGTGCAAAGCAACCGGGTATGAACTGTTTACGAATTAATATAGGCTTCAGCTTAACACGACTTGAAAAAAGGATCTTGTTCATCAGAACTTAATTATTTATAAAACGGAGCACGCTCAGCTTCTAAGAGGAACTTTACCTACAGTTTCCTGGGAGGGCCAGGATTCAGTGACCTAGGAAATACTCCTCAAAAAAACCACAGTCAAATTGTTTAATGGGGGGATATTTGCATAATCAATTACTCGAGACTGAGGATGGCCTTACAGAAGAGGAGATAGGATTTCTTTGGCTTCCCAGTCCCAGGAAAGTTAGAAGCTGGCAGTACGAGAGTTGATGCCAAAATCATTCTATTTCTCAACACAGGGCACACTGGACTTTGACTTTTGGATTCAGAAAGCGAGAACTGTGTGGTACAGGGCAGCACAAAGGGAGTTCAGAAACTGTAATCACTGCAAATCATAAATTACATCCAATTCTTGGTTATTGCTTAGCAAGTGTATCCTGAATTACTCAACAAACCTCTACAAAGGGTTATCTGTATGGGTCCCATCAAAGAATGTAGGTCTTTTTTTCTTAGAAGGTTAATAGTTTTTTTTAGAATGATCAGTAGATAAATATTTATTAGCAGATAAATAAATGGCTCTTTGTCTAAAGAAAAAAGCATGCTTTAAAAGCATGCTGGCTGTCTCAGCAGCCACACAGTGGCATTTCTTCCAGCATTTAATTGAGGAAGCAAGACTGACACTGTCAGCTGGAGTGCAGATACTACTTCAAACTAAGCACATGATCCCACTTTATTTGCTGTCTCATAGCATAAAAATCACGTGACTGTGTCCTGCACTGAAGGAACAGTAACTTGCTAATCTAGGTAAAGTTTTACTTCTGAACAGAGCGGATCAGTTCTGATCAGATTCTTACATGGTCACACTTCTAGGTACTGGCACTGTAAATTTATAGGAGCACATCTATTCAGACAGTGAGGATGTGTTCAAAACCTGAAAAGAAACTATTGAAGCCACGGACATGATTTGCCAGAAGTCACTGGACATTTAGCTACCTCAGGTTGGGAACCTACTGGCCAAGTCTGTACCACAACCTTCTTGTATCGTAAGCTTTAAGGGAACCAATATCAAAACCTGTTGGACTTTTGGTACAAAGGCCAGGTAAATAGTTATCACAATGCAGGATTTTTAACTATGCAGATCCCATGTCATCTAAAACAAGCAAAACACTTACTTGCTAGGCCACTGGCTAGCAGGTCAGCTTATGGCGGCCTTTTTCTCTGTCCTGATCTTAGAGCCAGCAGTCCTCACAATAACCTTGTGGGCACTATGAGACCGGGCTGCATTCAGGGATTCTTGTCATAGTATGCATAAGGCTCAGCAAGGTGCAGTTTTTGGCATACACAACGTACCAAAGATTAAGTAAAATCTTCTCGTAAGGGTCCATGTGAGCCCTTTTGACATAGTCTATAAGCAACGAGAGACCGAGCACACCCAGGACACATGGACAGACAGTGGGACTGTACACCTGAGACGTAGGTGACTCAGACTGAAGGCCCCATCAGAAGCAGTTAAGCTTGGAAGCCTTTTGCTCTCATTCCCTGTGGGGAATTGGCAGGTTCCCATCCCAAGCTAAAATTCCACCCTGGATCTCAGGTGCTTCCACAGACATGGAAAACTTTGGATTCTATTACTTTGAATTTTGCAATAAAAATTGAAGACCTGCTTAGAATTTTGTTTGAGGTCTACAGTTCCAATATCGACCACAACAGGCTAGAAGAGGTCCCTGCATGGGAGACAGCCCATAGCAAAGAGCCTCATTGCGCTTCCCTGACCGCAGCAGGAACAGTTCACTCCACGCTGCAGCAGCAGGAATTGGCAAAGGTAAGAGTATTCCTGTAACTTCTACAAATAGTCAGGAAAAGGATGCCAAATGTGTTAGAGCTCAGCCACGTAAAAGTTTCATAGCAGTGTGAAACAGGAAGAGCTGGAGAGCTGGGTTTGGAGCAGTGGGAGAGAAGAACCAGGACGTGGCCAAAACCTACAAGATTTGGTGGGTTTTTTTACTTGGGTTTGGGGGTTTTTTTTGGGGTGGGGGTATTTGGAATGCTCAGTTCAGCATCCTGATCTTTGCACTTTTGGGATCAGCTCACATTCTGATACACAGCCTGAATTTCATTTTTTTTTTAACCATAGTACGCTCAAGCAAAGAATAGTTTTGAAAAATACCGATGCCTTCTTGCTAGAGAAAACACCACATTCTATTACTGAAATGGAAAGAATAATAAAACATGGGATACATGGTTGGTGCCATGTGTTGCATAATGAGTATGTGTCAAGCCTGGAAGCCTGGCAAGCATTTGTTGAAGAAACTAGAACTTCTCAAGTGCCAGCAAAGGGCTGCAGGTGGACCTGCTAATACTGTAAAGCTTTTTTCTTAGATCAACAGTGGTATTTTCTTTTTATAAAACCTATACATTCCACTGTCAGTTCTGAACACTTGTAAAATGATCTTGTCAAAAAACAGAGTCCGAACCCACCATTTGCTGGATTTTTGCATGTTAGTACCTTCCTCAGTTTTTTAGCATTGATGTCTACTGAAATCTCCCCACCCGCTTCATGTTTAAGCTGGAGGACAGTTATCAGTATCATGCATTCTACTAAATCAGCTTCAGAACAAGAAATATTAAGGTGACTCTGGGTAGTCTTCCAAGTATGCCGTTAGTTTACCAACATCATTCTTATACTAACAAGTGCCTGAGATTAAATCAAGTAATATAATGTATTTTTAGTACGACTATATTACAGGAAATTCATCCCTTTCCTGATCTGTGACTTTACCAGGTAGTGCATTACGCACATTTCCAATATCATCCCCATTTGCTCTGGCTGGTACTGTTTTCTGATAATTGTCTCTAGATAGCAGACATTTTGCACATGCAGTCCAAGCCCATACCAGCTTACAATTTCTATTACATCACATTTAGTGAAAGAAGCTTCTGCAAAATCTTTGTCAGCATTGCAGCTTTCCAAACAAACCTCTGCTGTAATAAATTTTGTGAGTGTTCTTGCAAAAATAAATTTAACGCAGAGAATACCACAGAAATTGTCTCTCCACCTTACAGGTTTTGGGTTCATTGTGAGCTCTTCTAAACTTTCCCCATGTGCAGCTATTTAGTGCATACAGAAGTAAGTAAAAATTCCATCTTTCTGAATAAGGCATAGCTCCAACACTGGTTTAACTGCACAGACCATAATAGCTTCAGATACCTCCAAAAGGTGATGATGCTCCAGTCAAGGACATTTTAAATCATTATCAGCTATAGTCTTAACTGTAGTCCTACAGACTTAGCCCTATATAGCCCTATAAACGTAGCCCTGATTGTACTGGTCTTTTATAACAAAGCCTGCACATCTGATGACATAGCACTGGCAATCACAACCTCATCAACTATGAAAATACAAGGGAAAAAAGGGACACGTCTTACAAATCACATTCCTGCATCTCTGAAGCACTCCACAAAAAAATTTGTCCCAGCTCTAAAATTATTCAGCAATGGATTGGATTACAGAATATGCTTATTAAATTTGCAGGCAATACTAAACTGGGAGAGACTGGGTTGGAATTCAGAGCTTCACAAATCTGTGAGAAGGGTCCGAAAAAAGCAGGACACAGTTCTGAAAGCCTAAGTGCAAATTTCTCTGGTAATGCTAATTGCAAGTCAGAGAATGATAAAATGGAGCTAGAAACTGCAGGAAAAGATCTAGTGGTTATGACAACTCACAAGCCAGCAATGAGTCAGAGTTATCATTCTACTGCAAAAAGGAGCTCTTAGTAGGTTGTATAAATAGAACCAACCCTTCTCTTTAAGGAATGTGAAATAAACTTTTTATGGCGCTGCTAGTGCCACAGCTGAGCACTGTGCAGAGTTTTGCATGGGATCTACCCGGAGAATCCAGGGACAGATGAACAGTGCTCTAGAAAACACAGCCATTGAGGAAGAGCTGATTGACAGGTAAGTTTAATCAAAGCACCGCTCCTCACGCTGGAGGTGAGAGCTAGCATGCTGAGGCATGCTGTCTGGCCTCAGGTCCACATCGTGACTGCAGGAGTCCATAGCGAGAGCCTAGGTGGAAACAGCATAACATGGCAAAGGAAACAAAGACAAACTCTTGAAGATGGGGAAGGGGGTGTGTGTGTATATGCATGCATGCATAAGCAGCAGCAGCAAGTCTTATTCCAGACCGAGGTGGGGACCTACTGATTGAGAGCAGTGATGGGAAATAGTGACATCCCTGAGCATAAGCATACACTGCCAAATGCCCTTCATCATCAGAGGTTTTAAAGAGTATTTGTTTGAGGCTCCCTTGGAGCTAGGATAGGTGAGCACACATTTCAAGGAATCTTTATTTGCTATTATTATTTCTCAATACTACCCTGGAAGTTTAGTAGTGTGCTTTTTGTCCCCCTTACAGATTGTTATGAAGGCCTCAAACTGCGAGCATGGATCTAAGCAGCACTTGAAACAGTTCCCATTTTAATACATTGCAGCTCATTATTATGTTCCATTTTTGTTCTAACAGGCAGACTTCATACTACGTGACAGTGCTAAGAAAAAAGTGAAACGTTCCTCTTTCTCCATAGGTAAATTTAGGAGACACATATGCTTCACAAAAGCTCCAGAATTTCACTGGTAGCACTCAAGCGCTTTGTAATTTGATCCCAAAGAAAAAGAGGCAAGCCTAATCTAAGACAGCTATTGTAGTTATAAAGGCCAAATCCTCATTCACCAGTTTAGGACTACACTTTGTTCCTGGAAAACCCATTACAATTTTGTTCATTGTTCAATACCTTCTGCTTTTTCTTTTTTTAAATTGTAACAATAATACACTAATGTTCCCTAATGATGGTTCGTCCATTGCTCTCTCTGACTTTTCACAAAATCCTCATTAGTATCAGGAGTACCGAGGTCCACATTATCTTCTATAAGAACTGGAAAGCTTGCATATAGCAAGCATCCCTTTCCCTGCTCTTTATCATGAATTCTGTGACTGTTGAACTCAGCTTAGTAATTTCATGCTTATAAATCCTCTCTTTCCTACCTACACTGAGCTTAAAAGGGCTTTTATGAACATATTGCTTAAAGCTTGTGACAAATTGTTGCTTCTTTTTGTTCACAAGGGGTTTGGTTGAGCGTTTCCCATACTATTCCTTCCTTTCCATAATTTCTGCATGAAGTCACTATGAACAGCCCCAACTTCTATACCATCCCCTCAGCCAGATTAAATACAATACGCTAGGCAGTTGCTTCTTCAGGATGTTTTTCCACGTTTCTTTCACAGCTGTGACTTCTGGTACAGTAACAGCTCATGGTTTACTATTTTTTAGCACCCACTAAGACTGTGTATTACCTGCAGCACACAATAGTAGTGTTACATTTCTCTTCAGTGAGATAGGGAAAAAAGACATACATACATTTATACATATTTATTGTATCTTTTTAAAAGTAGCATTTGCAGTTACTTTTAAGCATTCACCTCTCTTCTGCTTCAAATGTGCACTTACTGAGAGAAACATCTACTGGCTTCCAAGTCCAAGATTAATACCAATAATACATGCCAGAATCAAGCTTCATTGCTTGTTGGCAGCTCCTGTCATGAAAATATTATACAGTAAGAAGAGTGTAGAAAAGGTCTGTGTTAATCCTTCAGCAATAGGCTGGGGCTGGATTAGCGTGACCATACCATCTTCTCAAGTTGAAGCACAACACCACTTTCCTGAAAACCGAAGCTCACATAGTAATTTTTTCCTTTTGCATCCAGTAGGTGGACAAGGCAGTTGGTTTTTCTACAGTAGCTTCTTTAGTTGATAAGATTTCCTCATCATCTATAGGAAAACACTCGCTGTAGACCTTTATATTTAGAAATGTCTTCTCTTCATGTAACAGCAAGAAAATACTTGAAGTCTGGCATGTAGTTAAGAGAACTGGGAACAAACCAAATTTCATCCTCAGATAAACATACGTAACTACTATAGATTTCAATCTAACCCACACACAAAGTTTTACACGTACTACAATTAGAAACAGAAGGTATCAGCGAAAGACTATTCTTACATTGTTTCAAATTAATCTGCAGCTATACAATTTTAACTGTAATAGAAAAAGGGAAAGGAATATAACAGAACAGGTATGAAGAGAAATATTTTCCAAACTTTTATTTGTGCACATTCATCAGGTGAAAAAGATAACTTTTACAGCTTCTTTGGTGCCCAATATTCAGCATACAAAAATGTAAAAGACTATTCACAAATAAAACACAAGCTCAAACTAAGAAAAAAAAATATGTTTTAAAGGTAGTGCACATCGTGACAGCTTTGCTTATGAATACACAGAAATTACTGCAAAAATAAATAGAATGTCTTTTTAAAAGCAGCAATTTCATATCTTGTAAACTTCCGTTTTTACAATACAGCACTGTTAAGAGTAAAATCCAAAAGAACTGGAGTTTATACTGTAGCCATGAGCAAGTAAAAGAGTCTGTATTCCTCTGCTATGGTTGGTCCAGTTTTCCTTTTTGCTTTTAGTCCAATGTGCAGCAGTCTTTAAAGGTGCTTGGTTAGGGAACCTAACCATCAAGTGGTGAATTATAAAATTTATTTCCTGCTTTCAAACACGAACGGGTAAATCTGTTCCACAGCACTGGCAACAGCCTTTACATTTGGCCCTGAGAAAAATTTTAAAAAAAAAAAAAAAAAAAAAAGGCAGTAGGAAGAGAAAAATCAGGGAAATGGAAATTAAAACAATAGTATCTTTAAAATAAACTTAATATTTTTAGCTACTACAACTTTATACTGTAGACAAAAATAATTTCTCCCCCATTCCTCCCAACTTAAGAAGGTGTTCCTCTGATCACTTTTACTTACAAGAAAAGACTCTTGCATGAAATCTGCAAGATGTTCTACACTGGTCAATGGCTAGACTACAAATAAATAATACTGTCATTTAATTTCATAACAACTTGGGTGCTTTTTGATTTACTTGCTTAAAAAGTCAGCACAGAGAATACGGCAGAGCCTGAGTGGCAGAGGTAGAAGAAATACTTTTACTTATGCTAATCTTCTAGGAATTTGTATTAGTCAAAGCCTAGCCACTTTTAGCTCTTCTTTTAAAAACCTACCAACAAAAACTACTGCTAAATAATGCTGCATTTAACCTGAGTATGTTTCAAGCAGTGTTATTTTATGTTTGAAAATTATAGACTATTACTTTCTAGTCTGGATTTTGCAAATAGCACCACCATTCATCTCAGGACAAAACCTGCAAGCCAGGGAACGGTTATTGTCTCAGGATAAGCATATGAAGGTTATCTAACACGATCTATGAACATTTGGGGAAAGAAAAGGAAGAATGAACTAGTGACACTTTCTAACTGTACTAGACCATTTTATGCAATGAACAATTAAGATTCCAAATAAGCGAGCAGTAACATGGCAGAAGAAATTCATCCTGGACAGAAGTTTGGTGATGTAGATAAATGAAAACAGCAATTTCTCACGTGCTTTGATGACTGTGAACTCAGTGGTTTTTTAGCTTGCTTTAGACTTCAAAAATTTCTTCCAAGTATAGAGAACTATTCAAAATGGTTCCCCCAAATCATAAGTAAGTTAAATAAGTTATAAAGTTACTTATTTAAGTAATTATGGAAATACTGTTTTAATTTACATGCTCAATCAGAAAAAAAAAGGAATGGAATAGGATTCTTCCTGTATTTTCAAACTTTGTGAATTAAGCACTCCCCTAAAACAAGCCTGGTGAAAGGTACTTGCTTTCTGGGCAGATATTGCACCTTCCTTAAATTTGTCCGCTATTACAAAAAAAGCAAGTCCTAGTGAAACCCTTCAGAAAGTGAGAGTATGAGTAGGCAAATCATTCTTGTAAAAAAAAAAAAAAAAAGTCACTCCCTGTAGGGTTGAAGAAGTGTAAAAACTGGATCATAATTGCAGAGAGTGTAAGAGAAGAAAACAAATCAAAACCCCCAACCCCCCCCATCGCTCATTTTGGAGGAAGAAAAATTAATACTTCTTCCGATTACATATCAGTTCTTTTTCTTCTCTCAATGTAACTCTAAATCTTTTTATACTTGTCCCATTAAAAAAACCCCACCACCTTCCTATTTTTTTATAACATTTCTAATTATGTATCTCAAATAAAATTCTTTGAGTTAGTGGCATGACAAGTACTAGTACTACAGAAATATGAATGGTGAAATAGAACCTCATCTGAATGCACTTGAGAGGGAGTAGAGTAAGGTTGAAAAGTAATTTTAAAAATTTTTAGAACAAAAAGCATAAGACTGTGGACTCTTTTTTTCCCCTAGAAGAAAGGCCTAGGCAAAACAGAAGGCTTCAAAACCAAAAGTGGTCTCAAGTATTTCAAACTCACTGTAACAAGTAAACCAGAAGGAAGTAAAACTTTGATGTTTACAATATTTGCCTTCATATTTGAAAGAACAATTCTGGAAATATGAAAGTGATTTTGTCTCATATATGGAGTAATAAGAATCTTACAGAAAGGCTAAAACTCATTAGGAGGCTGACAAGACACGCTGACAGCCTTTTATTACTGCAGTGATACTCAAGCTTCTTATTTATTTTAAATTTAGTTTCTAGTTTTGGCTAGACCAGTTGCTCTGTTCAGAACATATACTGCTATCTTGAAATTCTTTTTAGCCCTATATTTTCAGATTACCAAATCTGATGCAGTCTTCTTTAAAAAATACTTCTCCCGATATCCTGTGAGAAGTGTTCCTTTTAAAGCCTAGGTATTTGTTAAGGAGTTAAGATGTGAAAATAAAAATCCCTACCCAACTTCTGAACCAGTAGCTGAGCTCTAACAACCACAAGACAGAATTCCCGCTAAAGTGATATAAAGTGATGTTTTTTGGTTCTGTACCATTTTAAGGGGTATTCTCTAAAAAAACTGGCTTCTCGTATCTGGAAGCCTATGGTGGACACCTCACAAGCAAACATAACAAAGAATGGAAAATGAAAATTAGGATGAGAGAGGAAAAAAAACACGGCATGGCATCTTCAAGACCCAGGACAATCATATGTCTGATTAGATGGGGAAAAATCACTAATGCCTGTGATTCAGGTGGTGGTTCTCTCTCAGCTGAGCTTTGAGAGAAAGAGCACAAGTCTGAAGAACTGCAAGTATTGGTCAAGTTCAGTTATGACAAAATGCTATGCTATCCTATACATTTCCATAAATCTCCAGTTTGGAAACGTATTTATGAAAAGGATGTTAATGCTACATGCAGTGTAGTTTACAGCACTATGAAGGTGAAAAAAAAGAAGAAAATTCAAATAAACAATAAATACCTGCATTCTCAAGTCTTATCTCACTTTTGTTTCTATAAAACCCAGTGACCCTACTAATAATAACACTTTCTCTACAACTCTTTCGGCACTTTCACTCAAAAACAAACTAGGTGCTAGTCCTGGGAAACAAAATCCCTTCACCATATCTTTTGACTATTTCAAACATCTTACTTTCCTAAACCTACTGGCCCTAAAGTTAAATATTCCCAACAAGTTAAATATTTATTTTTGACATCAAAATACCTGTAACTGTGATACTGCCTGTGGAAAAAATCTGTAAGGTAGCTCTGAGAGTTTTTATTCTGTAACACACGGCAGGATGAAGTTCTGGTTCATAACTAGAAAAGAAAATAAAAGGTAAAAATTATAGATCTAGAATTGAAAAAGAAAAGCTTAAGAAGTATGCCAAGATTATAATTCTTTAAAATCCTACCATACCTCGCATGAGGTCTGTTATTCTTCGTAAATTCTGGCAATCTGATCTCAAAGGGCATGTTGCACACTGCTAAAACATTCACAACTTTAAAATCTGTGAAAATTACCTTTTCAAAAGAGAGGAAAAAAAAAGACATTAGAAATTCAGTTTACAGTGAGGCAGATGTATGGGTTGCAGAAAAAAAAAGTTAGAATACTAATTAGAATATTTTGATGAGATTTCAAAATTAAAACCTTGTGATTGATGCATTTCTAATAGGAATCTAAACAGTACTTAATGGACTCAAATAACTTACTTTATCCTTCTGTGGTACAGTAACTGTTGAACTAGACACTTCACAGTTGTATTATATGGTTATAGCACAGTTTAAGAATGAGACACAGAAACAACTCATATTGCTGTACCAAACACCACCAAATTGAAAGTAAACTAAATTAAATAGCTCATGCAACATCAAAATAAGCAGAGAAAAAGCTTAGATTTCATTGTTACAAGAATCTTACACAATTTGAAAACTTCTTTAATGCCTTGTTGCTATACACCATTTTTATTAAAGCTAAGAATAAGAAAAAAGGTGAAAATTTTTTTGTTTCAAATCTCCAGTGGCCAGTACAGCAAGCTGTTTTTCTACTCCATTACTTTCTGAAACCCAGCTCAAACTACTGGCTTTCAGTTATTCTTTACCACAGCCATTTTAGATGACAATAAAATAGTCAATGGACAATTCCTAAACAAACAACTGCGCTGCTGAGAAGTCAGTGTTGGAAATATCACTGAATAAACTTTTGTTCATTTTCTGAGATTTCCTAAACTTAAAATGACTGTTACTTAGTCAAAAGTTTTTAGAAGAATACTACCAGTAGAAGCAACTTATCTTTATAAAAGGTCAACTATCAATTTAATCTTCAAAATATATTCCACTTAAACCACTCACTTTATAATAAAACTTGGTGTGTCCACCCTGGAAGCACTGTTCACCTCAGTGATTTAATGTTCCATTCCAACTTTAAGAGGCTGGGTCTAATGTATCCATTCGTAACAGTAAGAGTGTCTAAATTCTGCTTGGGTCTGATGCAGCACTACCACAACAGCCCATCACCACTGCCTTTATGTACTACAATCAAAGGTAGCGTGTCCCTCCCAAAGGACAGCCACTGTGTCTATGTAATTGTCTGTCTGTAAACTGAAACTGTGGGTAAACAGCATAACTGACTACCAGGAAGTTTTAGAGTACTAAAGTGTGTAATTTTAAGTCATTCATGTTGCCGTTTTTCAACATTTACTATGAAATGCAAGTGGTGTTTTTGACTGGTAATGTTAACCCAAGCCCAGAAAAAAGAGGGGTTTCACATTCTAAGTATTTTATTTGGCTTGTTTCTTGCTGTGCATCCTGACAGTGCAGAAGCACTTTTTATCTCCTCTTTAATTAGAGGCTCAAACTTGCCCTTAACAAGATGGACACATATCTGCTATTCCATCAGAAACGAGGGAAAACTATGTTCAAATGACAGTTAGGTTTATACTCTTCAGCACTCCTTCCAAATAAATCTTTCAAGATACTCTAATTTCTATCCAAGAAACATCTGTGGATGTTCATTTATTAAACAAATTTTGTTGTTCATTAGCCAGTGAAGAAGCACTTCTCTGAGCTGCCAAATGAAACTCAAATCCACAAAATAAAACAGCTTCTCTTTAGCCAGCATCTGGAAAACGTATGCCGACACAAAAGGGACATCTGAACGAAAACATGCTCACTGCTAAATTGTTATGCTCCCTCATATTTGTTTCTTTCTTAAAAAATGGACTACCAGCATTGCTTGAGTCATACAAGTCCTTTTTCATTAGGATTACCTGAAAACCTAGTTTCTGTAGACTACGAGCTAATCGTCTGGCACCAAATTTAGCTTCTTCTTCACTATAAAGGAGAAAGAAAAGAATCTAGCATTAACAGAAATAAACTACGTATTTGTGTGCACACATACCACAATAGCTACTCAGACTACAAGGTGAACTGTTATATCATGTAGCACATGAACCATGATCACATGGACAGCCTTCATTATATCCTACTGTATGTATTACATTTTAACTATCTAGATAGTCAAATGGAGTCCTTTACACCCTGTTTGAAGAATATCCTGGCACTTGGCTCCAGCTGAAGTGGGAGACATATTTTGATCATACACACTTTTAAGAAACAGATACGATCACAGGTAGTCTGGAGTTAACGTCCTAAACAATCACCTTCCTTTTTGAGACAGAGATCATATACAGAAAGTATGCAAATTTACTATCGTACCTTATCCTTACTCCATAATGCAGACATATCTTAAAAGAATTCAGCTGTTAAGAGTTTAGCAAGTCTCAGATCTATCTGAACTGAGAGCCTGCTTTTGCTTCTTTCCAGTCCCTCAATACTGTACAACTTGATTAAATTCAGGTGGGTTTTCATGAAAGACTAGGAGATATCCCTCAAAAAAGGTCGTTCCTTCCCAAATTTCAAGTTCTGACTAAAAACATAGAATTCTTAAAGAGTTCTCAAATTAAATCTCTAGGATGTTCTTCATAAAGTAGTCTTCCCTGCTGCTCTCCCAGAAGGCTGAACTGATGTTGCTTATGATTTCACCTTAGTCTGAGTGTTGTGGTTTAACCCCAGTCAGCAATTAAGCACCACACAGCTGCTCACTCACTTCCCGCCACACCCAGTGGGATGGAGGAGAGAATAGGAAGTAAAAAGGTAAAACTTGTGGGTTGAGATAATAATAGATTAATAGAACAGAAAGGAAGAAACTAATCATGATAATAATAACAATAATAAAATGACAATAATAATAAAAGGATTGGAATATACAAAACAAGTGATGTACAATGCAATTGCTCACCACTCGCCAAGCAATGCCCAGTTAGTTCTGAGCAGTGATCCCCCCCCAGGCCAACTCCCCCCAGTTTATATGGCATGTTGTCATATGGTATGGAATACCCCTTTGGCCAGTTTGGGTCAGGTGCCCTGGCTGTGTCCTGTGCCACCTTCTTGTGCCCCTCCAGCCTTCTTGCTGGCTGGGCATGAGAAACTGAAAAATCCTTGACTTAGTCTAAACAGTACTTAGCAACAACTGAAAACATCGGTGTGTTATCAACATTCTTCTCATACTGAATCCAAAACATAACACTATACCAGCTACTAGAAAGAAAATGAACTCTACCCCACCTGAAACCAGGACACTGAGGCAGACACTTCATATAGAAAACTTGCTCCTAAATATGCAGCTTGGCAAAGATCTATGTGTGATCCTGTATAAGTGAATCTTAACAGTGGCAAGTACTGCCTCTTGCCATCTTCTTCATTTACAACATTCTATTTTAAAATACACAAGAATTTACAGCTAGAGAAAGAATCTTCATGAACTCACCTTGTGGCTCCTGTGCAAATAACTTTTCCTGAGGACCAAATTGTGGCGGTAATCCTAGGCTTCCTAAGCTTCATTAATACTTTCTAAAAAGAAAAAAAAAATAAAAGTGGAAGAATTGGGAATTAGTGGTAGTTCAATTTCATACTGGGAGAAAAAAAAAATCAACCGTTAGACAAATCAACTGTTACACTAATACTTCCTTTATTTTTGATAGCCTTAAACTGTTCCTTAATCTCTTTCAGTAATTAAAACAAACAAACAAACAAACAGCTCTTGAGAAGAGCAAAATAAGCGTGGAATATCTCAGCCAGTGATTCAGTGTTCACAAAACAGATTAAATGAAGGTATTTTCCTCTGAATAAAAAGCTGAAAGCTACAAGCATTGTGCTAATTTTTTTCTATTTACAGTGACTCCCACATTGCTGACTCCTTATTAGGATATATATTTTCTTGACAAAACCATCAAATTTTGGGAGGCAAAAACGGACCCTGAGGTGTAAGATGTCTCATCACATGCCTTATACACACTAATAACCTTAACAGTTGCAGTCTTCTGCGACAATATTTACCCACTCCCCTTGCTGTACGTTTAGTGTATGACAGACTAAATGCCTATCAAGACAGAAATACAGAAATAAAACTATGCTTTTCTCTATCCACCATACATAGATATCAGACACAAGAATGTTTAGCTTAAGGAACATTCGTAAAAATAGATAACTGAAGCACGTTGAATTTCTTACCCCAACATCACGCTTGTATATCACATTTGCTCCCTCTAATGCGATCTTCCTCAAGTTTAAATGACATCTTGTTCTAAAAACACACACTACATTTGTGATTAAAATGTCCAATGCAACATCACTGTCTGCATCCATTGGGGTGATTTACAACTCAGTTTTGCCACCAGCTCACCATGAAGACCACATCCTGAGAAACAAAAGTGATAAAATTAAACACAGCAGTAGAAAATTGCCTACTAATGCCATTGTATATATTCGTCTCATTCGTAAATGAGACAAGAAGCAGAAGTGACTACACTCTGACTCATTTAACTGTGTGTGGGGAAGGGGGGGGTGTCTGCATCCTGTATGCTAGAAAATAGGTTATTTATTTGAAGCCATGTTGCCAGACTTAACAGAAATAAAGTGTGTATACATATACATGTATAAAATATCTAAACAACTCTTAAATATGTTACAACTCTTACCAACTATATTGGGACACAGTAAAGATTACTGAAACTTTTTCCATAGCTCCAGTGGATAATCTTTCCTCAGCTCATTTGAGGATGTCATTAGACACCTCAGGAAAATGCACTCCTCTGACTGCTGAAGTTGATAATTCTGAACAGCTTGATGTTTGTGTTGGAATGGACGAGCCTGCTGAATAACTCTGAACTAACACGGGTTACACAAACTGCAGCCTGTAGACAGACTGCTACCACAGCTTTCCCATCTCCATCCAGCACTCTTGGCCCATCTCTCCCAATACAATAGCATAATGCAAACTATACAGAATGTCCTGGTGGCAGCAACAGCCTGGGCTGAGCCACAGTGGCCTCTCACCCCCTTCCACACTGCTCACACTGCATAGAATGAACGTATTTTATGCGCAGAGTAAAATCCAGTGTTTCTGAGGAAAAGCATGAGTACCTGTGAAGGCACAGGATGACTGCATAGTGCACACACAGCAAACTTAAGGCAGCCAGGAAGCGTCCAGTCTGCCTGTGCACATTGAAGGTGACACTCCTAACACACACCTCAACGGGGGGAGGAGGATCACGAGATGGGCTGTTGGGCTACCGCTCAGCCCAGCCCAACACTGCCCGACATCTCTTCTGTAAGCATACCAAAGCTAAGAGAGCAGACATCTCAACTAAATCTCAGGTGAAGTATTTGGGGAAAGGAGAGGAGAAAAAAGTAAGAACATTGGTATATAGTGAAAAGGACTTATATCAAAATACTGTAGTTCATTCAGGAATTTTTCTTTGTAGAAGAATGTAAAAAAACTTAGGTTTACTCCAAGAGAAGTAGACTAAGTAGAGCACAGCCTAAGAGATAGGGGCAATATTATCTTGATCCATTCATCTAAAATTTTAGTAGTATTTAATCCAAAATGAACACAACAGAAAGCAAAGAGCAAAATCAAATTAAAAATCCAGATATATGAAATGCTCTACATGGTCATTGCCATGGAAGAAGCAGGAGACTATGCATCAAGAACAATAATATACATAACAGACTGTAATGCATTTATATCACTTTAAATGTTTTGGCCTTATGTTCTATATCAGAAATCTTCAAGATAAAAAATTAACATTATCATCAGTATTTTCATCTGACTACGACCTCCTATACATCATGCCACAGTCTCTAATTGAGAACTCACCCAAGGTGCACCTTTGACTAGAACTCACTAACAATACAGAAGTAATAAACTACAAGGCAGATGCACATAATGTACTGGGTCAACTGCTGTGATGGTTGCTGCTTCTACCGCACAGCTTGTTCCCGGCCGAAAGAATTATTCTGTAATTGTTGGCTTGTCTAATATAAGAAAAGGTAAGACGAGTAATAACACAGAAAAGAGATGAAAAAACAGCAGGGACAGTGAGAGAAAACCAGAGAAACCAAAGGCTATGTGTGGGGGTGAGGGGGAAAGCAGGCAAAAAAGAGAACAAACAGTAACTAATTAGTATTCTCAGATCCTTTTTTTTTTTTTTTTTCCAAACCAGAAATTATATGAATCCTCAAAGTTAGAAATTACTTATTCCATCTGGTTTTGACGGACTACTACAGATTGGGTTAGCAATTTATGGCACCAGATCCAAAGATAGCACATGTGCAGATTTTGAATGGCATGCATGCAGGGCCAGCACAGAGCAAGGAGCTGGAACCCATGGCATCTTCAGAGAGGCATTTGTTTTCCACCCTGGCTCCAACTCCTGGCTCTTGCTGAGTTCACTTACTGGAACCCAGGAACAATTGCCATGTAAGAAAACAAGATACCTCCTATCAGCAGCGTCTCCCAATCATCAGCAAGTTTCTACTGGTACCCTCAATCTCTACATTCTGAAAGAATAACATCGTTATGCATAACACCCTTAAAAGGTTGCTAACCTCTAAGCAAACCATAATACTGTACGAAAATGTCCCCATAAAACTCTGATAGCTTGTCTTAAACAGATCGGGGGAGAAAAGTCACGTGCTCATTAAGAACAAAGGAAAAAGGGGTTGAAAGCAAGGAAAATTACTATTTTAAAGGAAAAGATCTATCATTAAAGGGGGATCTACAGGAAAAAAAGAACATTAATATGCTGTGGAGCTGTCAGTAAGGATGTTTTCAGCAATTATGGTGTATCTTGATTAGAAGTACAATCTACTTGCACAGATTTTAATGGAAGAAGAATTACACATTACAGTAAGTGTGCCCCCGTTTTCATTAGCCGTGTTGTGAAAGTTCAAGACAACAGAAATTTAGGGAGGAGCTTTTTAATCTGAAATTTAATTTCAGCTGTAGCTAATATTCTAGACTATGTTTTGTGATGTTCAGTTAAAAAGGGACATAATTTGTTAGAGCAGCAGTATATGAATACAGCGTAAAAATACTGAAAACTGCCTTTATTCTACTTTAATGTTACTTGATCTAACAGAAGCATTTCATTGTTAAAATTTTCATTCAAATATTGAACGTTGCTAATATTAATTACCAAGTTTTTCTCATTTGTATTGAGAAAAATCTTTATTTGCTGCTGCTAAATACTACCCGTGTTCTTTGAGAACCTGAATCTAAGTGTCAACAATTTTGAATACACCCATTCCTTTTAGTATACAAATACAATATTAACCTCTTCCAAGGCATGGTTTAGAAATATTGGGTAAGCCAAAATGTTTCTAGACTTGGATATTCCTGTCCAAGCAGTGAGTGAGCATAACCTATTGCAATCTCTGCCTTAAGTGTTGATTTTAATGTCTCACACTGTACTGACAACAAAGAAAAAAAAAATCTAGAGAAAAGACATCCTGCTACCTTTCTTTGGGAAGTCTCAAGGAAATCCAAATTCATAGGAATCATGTGAGCAGAAGCTCTGATTTATATGTATCTCCAGTAGCATGACTAGCTGGAACACAGGAGTCCTGAACAACATTCCGATCCTCCTCTTTCCCAGTTTTCTCTTGTCTTCCATGCTATTGATACACACTACTGTATCCCTGCCGTGTAGCCCTGACCCATTATGTTACTTCCCCAAACCTGAATTTCTGCATTTCTGTCTCCTATCTGCAAAATGGGGAAAAATAATGCTCCCATGCTTTTTCAAATACATTTTGAGATCAAGCAACAGCCTTACATACAAGTCAGTTACTATTCCATATTTATGCAGTTACACTTGCAGAACAGAGGGACCAAGTAGAAACCAAACATCTGGTTCTTTCCAGTTCTGGATCTGCAAATGCCCAAGTTGATTTTACTGAGCTCACCTTAGGTTTTGTTGATTAATTTTGCCCAAAGGTTCTCTCATCTGAATCTTTGAATTTTAGCAGCTTAAATGTCATTTCTAAAATTTTATTGTTCCAGTTAATGTTAATTTAATAACAGGCTAAAATTGAAAATAAAATAATTTACCTGTCTATATGTGCAGCGTTTCTTTTAGACTATGGCTTTCTCCAGCACAAGAAACTAGACAACTTTGATTTCAAGTTCTCTTGCACCAGCATAACACAATCTACCCCAACAGAGAAAAAAAACTTAAATACATCTCTGCAAAGTTTGTATTATTTTATTTTAACAAGGAAATTTTAAAAGTTTGTTCTTTCTTTTCAACACAGATTTCAGGTATACAGGAAAAAGAGGAAGGGGGGAAAAAAAGTAGATGCGTAAAGCATAATAAAGAACATGAAAATAAAACCAACAAAAAAACCCTCAAGGATATTTGACACTGTAAAGTAATGTATTCTACACTGAAACTAGAGAAACTGCCCAGAATAAGAAATACTTCGGAGGAAGAAATGAACACTCAAGTTGTTAACAAAGCATTACCCATACCCATACCCCAGTTAGGACCACGGCCATACTATTTTAGGTACTGTATAAACACACATGAAGACAAACACCCTGCACTGAAATCTTACAATCTAAAAAAAGCCAGCGCTCTCTGTCTTCAAAAAGTTCCAAACCAAACCAACCACACCGCCATCATCAAAGAGAGAGGAAAGGCACTTAGGATGGGGTATATAAACAAAGTCTTATTTTAAGCTTTTGGCTACCTTTGATCCAAGAAACTCCGAGCTGTAAAGGTAGATGGGGGTATCTAACAATGGTTATGTTAATGTCAGAACAGTTTAATAAACACCTTTTTCACCAGCAGCCTAAGTATAAGCAACTTCTACTGGTTATTTTTAACCTTGCTCCAGAGCAGCTAACCAACTGACCAACCCCACAAACAGTTCCAACAGCCCAGCTGAAGGGCTATCTGTCACTACTGTGCCAGTAGGCATTCATCAAACTAATGCTTCAAAAGCATTTTTTAAGAAGTTAACAGTAACCTCCTCCATATGAGGTTTCCACATGAAAACAGAGAATGCACAAAATAAAGCCCATCAGGAACAAGGAAAAGTCGCTTACATCCTTCCACTGAAGGTGCATTTTTTAAGAGTTGCGTTTGGCCCCTCAGAAAACAGGTCTATATGAAGCGCTGGAGGTGACAGACCTCTGAAATCTGCTTGAATTCTTAGATACGATATACAGTCATGGTGGCAGGTGAATGACTCCCCAGAACTGAGAGCAACAGAGCTACTACTGTCTGTACAGAAAATCCTCTGGTCTGACCAACTCTCTTAGGTACAGCCAGTGAGCTAGCAGGGCATGCTTTTACTTTTTGTTGTCTCTAGTGGCAAGTTAAATTGTCCCTAAAGCAAAAGGTCATCTTGAAGCTAATATTCTCACCTTTCAAGATTTGCACAGTCATGACTATTTCCCACAGAATGAAACAAATGTATTTTGGAGAAGGAGAAAATTTCCAAATACACATAAAACCATTGTCAAAGTAGGGATTTGTCCAATTAAGACCAATGCATATAGAATGATGATACCAGTTATGCCGTAAGCAAGTAGGACACAAATGCCCAATCTTGCTGTCAAGTCTCTCGGATAAGCCTACTGCATCCCCGCGGACCTGCGGTCTGCCAACACAAAGCCAGCTGCAGGAATAAAGCCAAACAGTTTACAGAACAAGCCCAGAAAGCGTATTTTTAAATAATTAATAACAGGCCCTTTTCCTCAAATCTTTCTCATCAAAAAAAAGTCCATTCATATTCAAAGCAAGAGTCGCTCGCATCCCATTCTGTGCCATCTTTCCCTTATAACACCCAGTAACAGTCGAATGCCAAGCATCCAGAACAATCCTTTCGGTCTTTACGATACGTCGTCGTAAGTATGACAAAAGTCTGGGCTGACAGGCTAGGTGGCCATTCCAACTTGATAAAATATTGCCAGAAAAATAAAAATCCGTTTTGCCGTTACGAAATATTTTAACACAACAGGTAAGCCTCTCGTGCCCCCCTCCCGGTCAAACATTTCCCGTTTGCACGGCCGGACCGCGGGAACAGAAGCGGCTCTTCCTATTGACGCTGCTGGGAATCTCACTCGAAGCCCTGCCCGTACCACCGTCACAGCACTCAGGTTAACAAATAATCACTTGCTTTCCCCTCCAACCCCGGCCGAAAACTTCTCCGCCGAGCCCGGCAGAAACAAAGCGCAGGCAGGAGGCGGCCTAGCCACGCCGGTCTCCGCCGCTCGGCAGCGCCGGCTCACGCCTGCCCTTCCTTACCTGCAGCGCGGGGCCGGGGCTGTTACAGAGCCCCCGGGGCCCGGCACGCTATTTCGGGGGCTCGGGCGCGGGGCGCCCGGTGCCCCTCCGGGAAGCCTCGCCGGTTGCCGGGGAACGGGCCGTTTCCCCCGGAGGATGCTCCGTCCCCTTCCTCTCCCGGATACGGCGGCCCGCCCGCCCCGAGGGGGGAACGGCCCCGCGGCGGGAGGAGCCGGCAAG